GTGGCCTTAGAAGAAATCCCAACGAGAGGCGGCGAGGAGACTGGAAGAGGTCCGGAGAGGTGGATGAGAAAGGGACAGCTTGCTGTAGATTTGTGCCTTGAACGGCATTGGCGGAAGAAAAATGGCAACAAGTCAATATTTAAAGTGATTTAAGTGCCAACTTGTTAGAGAATTTATCAGAAGGAAGGTATTCGGTAAGTGATGTCGAGTGGTAAATGTTCCAACCCGACAGAAAGAAGAAAGATTGCATTTATAATAAATTAAATTCGATATTTTGGCCGGCTTGAGTGGAAGTAGAAAGTAAAAGAAGGCGACCCGTAAATATCCCATCAAAGTTTGTGTGCAAGAAATACCCCATAATCCAAAGTAGTCGAGTTATAATGCCTCCTTTTCTATTCACTACCTTTAACAGTCCTTAACTGAGACTGAAGAATGGGTATCACAGCTCCTCCAAATTAAAGTACCCCTCAACCAAAAACTCTTCTGCTACACCAGACAGAAGGCACATACGGTTGAGAACTCGGGAAGATTTGGAGGGAGAAAGATGCCGAGAAAGTGCCACGGCTCCTCCAACGAAGAATATCCCTAGACCAAAAAACTCTTCTTCTACAACAGACAGAAGGTATAAATAGGCGAAAAGTTGGGAACGTATGGAGGGAGAATTGCGCCAGGAAAGTGTGAAAGACTTCGGCAGGCGATAATTGATAGAGAATGTAGACGTTAGGGCTCTGCAGAATTGATCGATCGATGGACTGTTACATCGTATCGGAGATGGGGCGGAATCGAAAGAATTGAATCCGAACTAGAAAATATACGACTACACTCAGCTAGTTAGAGTCATATTGGTCTCATAATCTGTTGGAAAATATACTCTGTACGATATTATATGGATATACATGATGAAGTAAAGAAGACTTGATATTTTACAATTGTGCGAACATTGGACTTATATATACATCTAAGGGAGAAATTCCCACTAGTCTCGTGTGCGTATCAACCCTAGTGATAAACAGCCACCTCTCATCTACCATGATGAGCCAAAGTACACTGTAGTACGTAAACATCCAAACGTATATGCAACAGTAGGCGCAATTAGCGCACTCGGGACATGTGTAGTGAGAGTCGATCTTGTCGGGAACCTGAGACGAAACAGGTAATGGTTGAGTCCTAAATTCGAGAGTCAGAATTTCCAGCACTTGGTCAATCATAGCTGCCATCTTGCTCAAAACATCAGTAATAGCTCTTGGCTGTGAGGGAGAGCTGGTTAAATTTAATTTCTGTAACTGTTTTTTACTGATATTTGCAAAGGCTGGAGAGCCGGGATCAATAATTGTGCACAGCTGGTTGGATCCATTGATTAATGCAGTAGTATGGAAAAGCTCACAGTCCATGTTAGGCTTAAATAAATTTCATTCTTTAGAAAGACTACTTATAATGCAGAGTTCCTTCCTAGCTTTTGACTCCTGTAAGTGACTTAGTACAGGAGCTCTCTTTTTCCCTCTCGTCCTTTCAATCCTTCTGGCTTTACTATTCTGGCTAATTCCACCTCTTCTTCCTCGGAAAGATTTGCTAGATTTATGTTTGCTGGCTTTGAGGTTTGAAGATAATTACAATTAGGGGCAATATTTCCTTTATGTCCACACCTCACACAAAGACCTTTTTTCTTCCTTTAGGCAAGTACATATTTTGTAACCCATGATGCTCTTTGATTTTTTGGCCCTGGTTATTTGCTACAAAGGTAGATTTTGTTGGCTCCCAGTCCACTTTTGGTGTGTTTGAGTTTTCCAAAGGGTTTTGCTGGCAGAGAGAAGGGTGGATTAATGTGGTCTATTACTTCTTTATCACTGTAAATAGTATGGACTTAGGAAACAAACTCTGCCCATATATCTTTTGATGAGCCGAGGAGCACTAGCAGGAGTTCTTTGATCAGGGCACTCTTCAAGAGGGATATTTTCTGACGATCAGAATAGGATGACCAGCCAGCATTCGCTAGCACTGTTTCAAACTTTGTAAGAGAATCTGAAAATATTTCCTTCTCTTTTTGTTTCGTTTGATAGAGCTCTCTCTCTGCCCTTGCTTTCTTGTTAAGATACTCCAAAAATTCAACTGCTGTGTCTACTCCATTTTCTGGCAGGGATCCTACTGTTGCTGAGACCATCTTGATTGCATCACCATCTAGTCGTGAGTAGATGTATATCTATACACATACTCATGGATTAGCCAGGAACATATAGCTTATTACATGTGTTGGAAATAGGCCCGAGAATCCTATAACCTGCATTTCAGACACAGTCATCTGCTGGAATGCTAGTGTGAGATTAATACCATTGCGCATTTAACTTCCAGTGGGGGATATATTGATAAATATAATGTAGGATGGGGAATGAATGTATGTTTATTCGTGACGGTCACAAGCCCTGCACCCAAAGAACATGACACGGAAAAAACTAGGAGGGCAAGACTGGACACCCGTACGCGGTGTCCTCTACGAACCTGGGAGTGAAATATTCTCCCAGAGCTAAGTTCAGTCAAATTTCGCAATATCAAAGTAGTTGGCCCACGATGCAAAATTTCAAATTACTCCTCCACGTCAAATTTTCACTCCCAACGAGTCCGAATCCTACCTAAGTCTCGTCAAGTCTACAAATACGAACAAGTACATCCCCATTCCAATGACCACACCTCTCGTCGACTTTTTCTGGCCTCAGTTGACCACCAAATACACGCCCACGCCGATATTTATACCCGACGGAGGATACAAAGCGTGGCGCACAAATCTGGGAGACTGTTCTTTAGGATTGGCGTGAGAGGATTCAGGACAAGTTAACAAGATGATGCAAAGGATGGATACTGTCTCAAGGGGCGTGGAATTTTGAATTTTGGCAAGGGTTTCACGAATTGAGCTTTGTGCACGCCAAGACTTCGGCTGCGAGAGTGCAGGCGACACTATAAAAATCACCATGGTTGGATGGTGCGGTGGTACATCGTCTTGGCCGGTCTGCCAAGTAGAGTCTGGATAGCTTGGACACATATCCCACTTGAGACAGTAGATCGCTGGTTCAAATCCGGCAAACACAACCACATTTCTCGCGGCGCTAGTATGCATGGATGACGAAGGCATGCTTGGATAATCAAAGGTTTTGAAATTCACTTTGGTGGGTACTTTCGGAGGAGGCTCGACTGTTTGTGTAAGCGAACGTTCCTCATAGTGGTATTCGCGAATGAAATCCAGAGTATGAGTGTCATTAACATCAAAAGAGTCATCCAACGTGTATACATAGCACCGGTCATGTGTCATAGCTTTATAGCTGAATACACATTAAATGATTTAAAAAAAAAAGAAGAGAGACCAATCGTTTTTGGCTACAGAATAGATGGAACGAGCAGGGCAGGTCTCAAGGGTTAATCTCGGTCGTCTGCATCAGCATTGTATCTAAGAGATAGATGATTTTGGCTTAGGGCCGAAACTAAACAAATGAATATTTTTATTAAGCTAATAAATGCGAGTTATTTAAAAATGTATAGCGTCGAACATAATTCGCACAGTCCGATTGAAATCCGAAGTGATGACCACATTTCAAGAGTTTCCAGTTTTGTTATTATTATTTATTTTTTGCATCAGATTTTAATTGCGTATGCAGCTGTCAAGCTATGACACAATATCAAAGAAAAGTATAGAATAGATGATTCAACGTAAAGGAAGAGCACTCATGCCTCGGTTCCAGTTTTGTTAATATAGGAGCTTCAAAGAGCATACAAGTCATCTAAGCATATTGCGAAACTTACTCGGGGCTAATAGTTGACAAATTTACTTTACAATCTTTAAAAGGAAATGTATGTAGGTATGGAGTATATGTGTGTTTTTGGTGTACCACTTGAGTCTATGACTAGCTAGCACAATGGGCTCCTCTCTGACCCAGGCCACACCTTGTATAGTGCTCCTTGCATCTCATGTTCCTTGAAAGATCATTGATATATTCCCCTTGATGAATAGCCATTCGGCTCAGTGATTACCCGTGGAATTCTGCCACCTTTTCCACGGAACCTTCTACCCAAAAAAACAAAAATGGTAGCAATGGAAGCTGCGTGTGCGGGGAAAAGTCTCAAAAATCCTGCAGCCCCAGCCAGGCGAGGCCTAGACACCGGGACCACATGAGGTGCGCATATTCATCTATATCTCCCTTCTTTGTAACAGTCGAGGCCGACTTGATCCAATCCACCATCTCCGTATCGGGTGCTGGGTACGCTCCGGAAACTCATCGGACGGCTTTTCCTCCATGAGCAAGGGTTGGTGGCGAGTAGGGCTCCGACCCTAACATCTGATCTGATCGTGGTTAGCTTCATGATAATGGTGATAGGGGAATGTGTTGAGAGATGAAGACGATACAGACGGCCAAAGCGATTAGGAATCCTCGTCGGAGTGAGGACTTTGTTACTCAATCTCGGCTCTGCAGACTCTACAGTGAGAGCTGGAGGTTCGTAGGGGACACTACTTACAGGTGTTGAGAATAGTCCCCTATAAAGGAAATGTTGACGGCTGGATTTCTAGAAACCAATAATTTATCAAGTCATTTCACGTAGTAAAATAATAACCAGACTAGTGCCGAATATGAACGAGAATAAGTCTGTTTAAATTATAGTATGTATATTAAAAGTTAATAACAATCATTGTTATCGTCACGAGCAAATCAATCGTAATATAAGGTTATTTATGTTTGTAACCAGGTACTTATTTAATTTTATATAATCGTCAGTAATGACCATGAACTTTAGTAGATTCTCATCCCGAGCTATCTATCTTATTCTGTTCTAATTGCCAAAATTGGTTGCCCAACTTTAATTTCACATCCTTTGCTGCTCTAACGATTACGAAAGTTTATTTTACTAGGACAAAGATGAATGACCCAACCCAGGATGAATGAGATGAGCGAAGACTTTCAACAAACGCCTTCCATGCTAGCAAACACAATGTCATATTTCCAATTCATCATGAGGATCATCTAAGTTAATATTTGGTTTGCTACTGTTCCTTGGAGAGAAGCTGCCTGCACGGCATTTATTTCAGCTTGGTGAATCACGCTCTGTACTACAGCTTGCTCATCAGCTGTCAGGACCTTGATCAATGATTCGTATAATTGAGGCTGCCCTTGTTGGAGTTCTATAATTATTAGTCTCAGATAAAAGTGTTACATGGTCAACATTACTTATGAGAGCATCGCGAAAGAGCATGTAAGGCTCTATTCTATCAAGTGGTGTTTCAAGAAGACTTTCTTCCCCGAGTTCATCATCAGAATCATGCTCTGCACTCTTGAACTTTTGGGCTTCCTCATTCAAGAAATCAATGTATGCACTATTCTCATCTTTACCATCAGCATCATCGTCAGCATCTGGTTCTTCGTCCCAAGCAGTTTCATCCCCTGCCCACTCGTCATCATCATCACCATATTGGTTATCGAGTGGATAATCTTCCTTCAGTGCTTCTTCACGATCTAGGGAGAAATTAGTGGGGGGTATTTTGGTAGCTTCCTACGTACTTTTCGTAGCTGCTGGTAGAGTTTGAAACAAACGAACAACGCCCTGAAGTTAAACTTAGATTTTATTTCTAGGAGATTTAGAGCAGATTTTGAGAAAACTACTTGCCTGTAATAACCTTGGCCAGCCTTGTTGAACGCTGATTGGTACTTGATCAGCATTAAGCGTAAGTAAAGCGATAATAGCCGCAATTGACAGCTTCTTATCGTGAACTCTTGTGAAGCTATCAATACTAGAAAACCACATGGAAAAAAATTTATTTGTCCAGTTTTTTGATTCTAGAACATTAAGGGTCAGGACCTATTACACATCAGTATCATAGTGAGCAATATGGGATGCATAATTCTACTGGACTGTAGTAGATCGCATTGATGACCATTTCCATCAAATGAATCTTGTAAGACTTGACTTTAACATCACCATTAGTTAGTGTACGCATACCAATATCCACCTAATTCTGTTAGCATATATAATTCTTAATGTATGGTTATCTTTACAAATGCTGGGACGTATTGGTCAACATGACCGCGGAGACTTAACATGATACCTTCTGCTAGCCTGCAAGCGCAGATTTTGTCCACTCCCCCAACCTTTTGATCAGAGAACATGTCACTAACCATGCCAAACATAGCCCCGAGATACTGCGTGTTTTCGATGAGATGAGGTACGCCATACTGGACGAAGTTATCCAGTGCTGGTAGCATGTCCTCCAAATAAAGCTCCGCACCAGCTTTAAAGGTAGTGTGTATAAGTTCAAAGGCTTGCCACATTGTTGGTGATATTGACTTGGCGGCAAATGTGCAGCTGTCAATAATCTCAAAAACTTCATTGTAAAGATCTATTTCTCTTAGTAGTGATTCCATGAAATACCGCGAGTACTAGGTTACCATATAGCTTATTCTCAAGAGTGACCTTGATAACTGGCATTAAAATTGATTCCATGTGCAGAAGCACGTCTGGTGTACTTTCAAGGGTAAGTATGAGAGTGCCAATAGTTTGTAGCACACCTAGTGCAGTGATACTTTTGTCGTCTAAATATTCACCATACGTCTCGTCGCCGTCCTCTCGCTTCTCATTTTTCTCAAGAAGCTCACGAATTATTCTTAGATACGTATCGCGCAATTGTTCACTCAAAGCCACTGCGAATGGAGTGAGTTCAGTCGCAAAAACTTCGACGAAGTCTTCCATGACATTGGACAAGGCATCAACGTCGACCTCATTTGCAAGCTTGAGAAGTTGTTGCATTATTTGGGGAATATTTTGCTGCATATTCGTACGAATAATGTCATGCCTTATTAGTGGCTGAAGTGCTAATGCTGCCTCTACACGAACGGGAAGTTCTGGATCTGCCATGCACTCAAGGATATTGCGGTAGATGATTAGGAGGTTGTTTGAATCTTTAAAATCGAGCTGCTCAAACTTTTCTACAGTATCACAAGCTCGAGCACGCAAAAAGCCTTGGGAGCTTCTGAAGTCAGGAAAAACAAATCGAACCAAAAAGTATTCCACTTGTTCGGCTATAGGACTTTTTTTGCCTAATATAACACCGGATAGCGTTCCGATCATTCTAAGCGCTCCTTCTTTAGCGATATGGTTTTTCTTATCCGCTTCGGCGTTTTCATATTCACTTACCACCTTGTTGACAAAGGTAAGAATTGTGAAAGTGTGTTTTCTGCGTACCTTAGTAAGCGTTACTAGGAAATTTGTTGCTGCTACACCCGGTGCAGAGGCCTCTTCGAAAAAATTGAGCTTGTGGTGTAAATATTCCTCAGGATCTGTATCAAACTTCTCAACATCTTCAGAAGAGAGGCACATGACTGGAAATAGAACATGTGTGACGAGAGAGTCTAGATGAGGTTTTAGATGATTCCACATCTCTTTAGGTTTAACACATTCATCTAAGAATATTAGTGTATAGGAGAGGCATGGTCGGCTGAGCCATGTTGCCTTTGCAACCCACTTTTCGATTTGTTGAAGATATCCCTTCAAGATCTCGGGGGCAATATTTGCAATGAATGCTTTAGCGAATTCGGTATAGGCGTCTCCGTTACCCTTTTGTAATGCAGACGGATTTCCGTAGCTGGGATAGTGAGTGTAAGTAAAAATATTCGAAAAGCCGACTTACCGAACGAATAATCGGTTAAGATTAAAGTATGCCCATTTCTTTGCTTTCCACCAGTGATTTGCTTCACGCTCAGCGGTATCTTCCGGGAGCGCTGTGGAAGGCACTTCTTTGGCAACAGTTTGCAGGAATAACGAGCACCACCCAATGACAGTCGGCTGTTCTCGAAGAGATGCAGCCAGCTCGAACTAGCATTTGTCAACATCTTTTCTATGTTGAAAGTTTGAGTGAACGTACAAATGTAGCATGTTTGTATGATTTCAATACGACGTGAAGCATCTCTCCCGCTTCCTCACTCATTTCATTCACTAAGCCTTGTCCAATTTCAAGTAGTCGGGGAAACGTCGCGATAATAATCTTATCAAAGTCGGCACGGCTATCTCCGGACTTAAATCGGAAAACTCGGCAGAGCGCAAGGAGGCACTGAAGGCCAGCCATTATTGATGGGGCTTCATTGGTGTTGAGAAGCTGAGCTGTGATGGTGATAAAGGAGGGCCATTTTTCGGGAAAGTCAAAGTGAAGTATCTTTTGTAAAACCGGTATGATCTGATGCCGAATCTTTGCAGGAGAGGAAGCAAGAACCGGAAGTAAGCGTTCACGTAGCCGCTGCTTCTCATCATCTGGTATGGGTTTATTCTGTTGTGTAGTAGCTGGATCTAAAGACCATCCTCTTGTAACTCGGTTCTTTAAGTAAATAACGGCTGCATCTGTGTGTTAGTTTCGGACCGCGGGGTAGGGTTGTCAATTTGCGTACTTGACATGCGAATAGAAGGTTCTTGCTCTGCCTGTAGAATCTCCAGAATAGCGTCAATAAATCCCGGATGGTCTTCAGCCTGCAAATAAATTGTTAGGTATAAGAGTTAATTTGGTAGCATTGACTACTTGCAGTCTTCAATTCAAGTTCAGCACGGCGCCGAGTGTCTGCATCGACATCCAGAGTCGCGGCGATGCGACTGCGCAGTGCAGCGACATCCATCTCGGGGCCTTGGATCGCCTGGTATTAGAAGTGAGTAAGACGGTTGCGCAATGAGGCACGAGAAAAATCTGTGATGTGTTGGGCAATGTTTTTTTTATTTTCGTTCATGGCAAAATTTAACGTCCCTCATGACGGCTCCTCCTCGCTTCGAATGAGGCTGACCGCTTTCGTCGATGTGTGAGTTTACCCTCTGTGGCTATTACTTTCTCGGTCCGCAATAACTTGTAGGCTTACCCAACCGGCATAGACTGATGCCTGACAACAACTCATTTGCATGATTATCGCCACAGACTTCGCTCATCTTAAGAGACAGGTAGTACTTGCGCCTACACATATCTCGAACAGCCAATATTGAAGCCGAAGCTTATGATATATTACTTGAAAATTGAGAGACTAACCAGCTTTATTTGCGGATACAATAGGCATATATAGATTCTACGATAAACGAGGATTTGGTAATGGCTTGGATTATTCCATACGCCTTACTATCATAATGCACGCGATTTTAGTGGGAAGGGCAAACAAGAACCGGATCTCGACCAATTAGTAAACCTGTACAAATTAGAAGGTAATGCTGCTTAGTTATTTCATATTCCGTAAGCAGACAACCTTTTGAGGTATGTATGTCACAGAAGCAACCAGTGAATCAAATAATAAAAAACATTATTCTTTGTTACAAAAATTTTGTTGAACGATAATAGTCCTGAACTGATGTGATGATTTAGAATGCTTCAATCTCAGTCCGATTTGCTCTATTTCGTACAGGTGATGGGGTTAGCTCTTGGCACTTGCACAAAGTTTACTACTCCTCGATGCTGAACCTAAGGTTTTGGGCTGAGAGCCTCACAATTTTCAGACTGAAAATTAAGCCGAGTCATCGTACAGAACGACGCTTACCTGGTTTGTGATGAAGAGCTGCTACACAGCACAAGGCTCTGAATTTCATGTATTTAACAATAAATAATCAAATACGGCTTGGTTGCAATCGTGTTCGAATTCCACAAAGAGTGCGGCGGGTACAATTTCCCTCAGACGGAAACATACATTAAAAACCCCGAAGAATTTTCCGGTGTTCATTCTTCTTCAAGCAGAGGTTAATTACATCGAATTTACAACAAATATTTAATGTGAAGTCGTTTGAAAACCTTCATGCCTCAGCCAAGATCCCATTGTCCTACGGCAGGTTCGCAAATTTTTAAATAATTTTCTCTTCATACATGGCTGACGTTGAGGATGTTTCGGTCACGAAGGCGACGTTGCTATATTTGATAAAGGCCGAACCCTTTTTCAAGCCGCTGTAGCTGCTCAACGAGATTTTAACTCGTTCAATGAATTGACCAACAAAGAAACCGTACTCTTCGCCCAGGATAAAGCCATAGGAGTATATCCCTTGGCTTGTGAGCCAGAAGATCTGGGCTTCCGATAGAAGGGCAGGCAGTCGATGAACCCAAGCTTTGGATGAAGTCTAGTAGCCTGAGGCTCGTCAGGATAGCAGGTTGACGTTAGATAACTATTTATTCAAGAGGACAATTATCGCGATGCAACTAGTGTACAGTCCCTCTGGGATAGAAAGGATATAACTTCAAACCGGGCTGTTTATGGGATTAACCCTGCAGGCGCAGCTAAGCTAACTCGTAATAGGTTAAACTTTCTATCCTCATAACCCCGCTCGCCATGAAGTGTGGTCCATTTGTCTTTCTTCCTTGGTTGGTTAAAAAAATGTAATTTCAACGACTCCTTTGGCTGCCTAACCAACATAGCCCTTAAGGAGGGCAAGACTGAACACATGTACGCGGTGTCCTCTACGAACCTGAGAGTGAAATATTCTCCCAGAGCCAAGTTCAGTCAAATTTCGCAATATCAAAGTAGTTGGCCCACGAGGCAAAATTTCAAATTACTCCTCCACGTCAAATTTTCACTCCTAACGAGTCCGAATCCTACCTAAGTCTCGTCAAGTCTACAAATACGACCAAGTACATCCTCATTCCAATGACCACACCTCTCTTCGACTTTCTCTGGCCTCAGCCGGTCACCAAATACACGCCCACGCCGATATTTACACTCGACGGAGGAAGCAAAGCGTGGCGCACAAATCGGGGAGACAGTTCTTTGGGATAGACGTGAGAAGAATCAGGACAAGGTGACAAGATGATGCGAAGGAAGGATTTAATCTCGAAGGGCGTGAAATTCTGAATCTTGGCTAGGAGTTTTACGAATTGAGCTTTGTGCGCGCCAAGACTTCACTTGCGAGAGTGCAGCTGACACTATAAACACAAGCCAACGATGGAAGGTGTTGTGGTCCGCCTCCTGGTGGTGTTCTCTGGTACGGTTTGAGTAGCATGGGCACCTACTCCACTTGGGAAGGAGACATCTCAGATTACATTTCGCGCGAAGAAAAGTTGATGGATGACAGAGGCATGTCTGGATAACTCAGGGTTTTCGAGACGTTCCCCTGGGTGGGTATTCACGGATGAGGGTTGACTTGGGGTGAAGAAAAAGCCACCATAACTTCGCAGTGGTACTTGCAAATGAAATCCGAGGCATGGGTGCTCCTATTATAAACTGAGTCATCTTTTCTGTACTTTTCTCTGATATTGTGTCATAGCTAGATAGCTGCATACGCAATTAAAATCTGATGCAAAAAAAAAAAAAAAAAACCCTAAAACAAGGGGGAACTATTCTGAACACCTGTCAGTGGTGTCCCCTACCAACCTCCAGCTCTCACTTTAGAGTCTGCAGAGTCGAGATTGAGTAACACCTTTTAAACTTTGAGCTTTGTTATCTCCTCTTCCGTCATAGATACGCTTCTGATAACACATAAGACGGCAAAGACGACAAAGACGACGATAATGATGCTGGGAATGAGGAAAGATAATGCAGTACCAAACGCTACAGCGGTAGTCAGAGAAGCCCTCGTTATATCACAACATATGCTACCCAACGACGGGCGAACAAAAAGCCCACGAAAGCAAATTATTTTTTTTCATTAACGTGCTCGGTTAATTGACTACCGTTACACTCCTACTAGAGTTTAAGCACGAGTGGGGCCGGGCCGGATCAGGTTAACTACGGCGAAGTACAGATATACCTCGTCCCACTTAAATGACCGGACCACCTCAGACTTCACCTATGTGTTGAATCATACCAAGCCTGACCGTCCAGAATTCCGCTGTCGACACGCCGTGGCGCAAATTCCTCCTCAGTCTCGGCCACCATGGGCCCAAGCCCTTGGCATCCATATTGACTCAGAAATATAAATGCCATCCAAGATCTCATCGATTCTATAGCTTTGCACTTTCATGTCGTACTGTTGGTTGTTGTTGTCGTCATTGGGTACCTGTGTGATCTCCTCGGTGTATATTTCCTTTTTTTCCTCCTCTGTATACGTCTAATTTCCATCATGACTGTCCTAGTTAGGGCGTGTGTAGGTAGTTGATGTGACGGGTATGAAGATGGGTCGTAGGTGTAGGATTAACTGGGATATTCTACACCGCAGATGTACAAGGAATTGGGGAGATATCGGATGTTCGAATACGACCCCAGAGATAGACTTAGGGCTATTCGTGATTCGCATATTGGTTTTGATGAGTTTTTGTTCGACTTTCTTGCGGTTGTGAAATCTCTGTCGACTGATTTTTCGACCAAAGTTTCAAGTGTAACTCCTTCAAGTCGAAAATCCATCAACTGTAATTCATCCCACCCTTTTTCGTGACCGAATCTCGGCTCTGGGAGAATATTTCACTCCCAGGTTCGTTGAGGGCACGACTGACTGGTGTTCAGCTTTCGTCCTCCGCGAAAGCAAAGTAGAATATGCTTGTGTTTAAGTTATCATTGTTAAGTTACCATAGTTAAAATGGTTTTGGTCAAAGAGGGCGACACATGCAGCTACGATAAAGTATAATGACCCTGATTAGACTAGCAGCATATTCCGTTAAATGTCCGTTTTACCTCAGGCATATACCAAATACATGTAGTATATAGACTTTTTTTTGCATCAAATTTTAATTGCGTGTGCAGCTATCTAGCTATGACACAATATCAAAGGAAAGTACAGAACGGACGATTCAGCGTGATGGCAGGGTACTTATGCCTCAGATTTCATTTGCAAGTGCCACTGCGAAGTTTTGGTGGCTTTTTCTTCACCCCAAGCCAACTCTCATCCGTGAATGTCCACTGAGGGAAACGTCTCAAAAACCCTGAGTTATCCAGACATGCCTCTGTCATCCATTAACTTTTCTCCGCGTGAAATGTGATCTTAGCTGTCTCCTTCCCAAGTGGAGCTGGTGCCCAGGCTACTCAAACTATACCGGAGAATACCACCAAGAGGCGAACCACAACACCTTCCATCGTCTGCTTATTTTTATAGTGTCAGCTGCACTCTCACAAGCAAAGTATTGGCGCACACGAAGCTCAATTCGTAAAACTCCTTGCCAAGATTCAGAATTTCACGCCCTTCGAGATTAAATCCTTCCTTCGCATCATCTTGTCACCTTGTCCTGATTCTTCTCACGTCTATCCCAAAGAACTGTCTCCCCGATTTGTGCGCCACGCTTTGCTTCCTCCGTCGAGTATAAATATCGGCGTTGGAGTGTATTTGACAATCAGCTGATGCCAGAGAAGGTCGGCGAGAGGTGTAGTAACTGGGATAAGGATGTACTTGGTCGTACTTATAGACTTGATGAGACTTAGGTAGGAATCAAACTAGTTGGGAGCGAAAATTTGACGTGGTGGCGTAATTTGAATCATTGCCTCGTGGGCCAAATTCTTTGATATCGTGAAATTCAACCGAATTTGGTTCTGAGAGAATATTTCACTCCCAGGTTCGTAGAGGGCACCGCGTACAGGTATTCAGTCTTGCTCTCCGTAGTATATAGACTAGTTGCTGTAGATAGAGGGTTGGGTATCGATGTGTCGAGAGCTGATTCGAGTGCCCATCATTGTTATATGGACTTTATTTACGAATCAGACTATGTTAACTCTGTCCGTTCTCTATTGATTGC